ATTGCCACAGTGCTTGTCAAAGCCAGTTCTGATTAATCTCCTTTGTCAGTATGTCCTTTGCCTTTCAAATGCCATTACTTTTACGATATTTTGTTTTTAGCCCTGTTTTCACTAGGGCTGTAATTGAACATTATTTTCTGGTCAGTATTGTTAAATTTTATATCGTTTTAAATTCACCTTGGTGATTTGCTTGATACAAATAGTATTTTTTTCCCCGTCTGGTTTCTGCTTGAAGGAATGGTTTCAAATAATAATAAAGGTATGCAACCTAGCACCCAATTTAGGTGTTTTAGTCATTTTTCTAACTGGGATTAATTCCTTCCATAGGGTTTTAATTCCTAAGGAGTTACTAGGAAAATCTGTGAGGCACCCCTCCAGAGTGCTGAAGAGCAACAATGACAGTCTAGAGACTCAAGTGTGCCTGACTCAAGCCATCGTCTTTGCAGTTACTTGCCAGGCATCAGAGGTGGACAGTGACTAAGGAAGTTAGAAGAAGAATTGATGCCGTTGAGTTGTGGTGCTGGAGAAAAGTATTGAACTTACTAAGTCTGCCAAAAGAACAAATAGGTCTGTCCTGGAAAGGGTGAAACCAAATTGTTCCTTGGAGACAAGGATTTTGAACCTCTGTCTTACTTAACTTTGGGTATGTGGCAGGAAGGACCAGTGTCTGGAGAAGGAATTATGCTTTGAAGGATAGAGGAACAGCACAAGAGAAGATGACCCCAGATGAGATCAATTGACACAGTAACTGGGGTAATGGGAGTAGGTGTTCAGGATAGGGCAGAGCTATTGTGCATAGTATTGCTAGGTGTCACAAGAGACTTAACATCATATAACAGCAGCAACAGTAACTGGAAAGGGAGCTCTGGTAATGTGGTCTCTAGGGAATTGCATTGCTCACCCAAAGGCCATGACTCTTTGACAGTTTAAATTCACCAGAATCTCTGAGAAGCTTCCTCTTAGGCAGTTTTCAACCTCAGAAATCCAGTGAAACATCTGCTATGAGTTGGTTTAGACTCTGCAGCAATGAGTGTTGAGTGCTAGAAAGAGAATCATCAAGCTCGTGGAGCTGCCCATCTTATGTTAAAGCTTTCTCTAAACTCATCATCTTCCTAGGGGAGATATACATCCTCCTTGTCCCCGTTCTGAGCTCTCCAGGATTGTTGTTAGGTGCCATTGAATCAGCTATCACTGGAGCAATCTTGAGAACAACAGATGAGAACTTTGCCCTGACCTGAAGCATCCTCGCCAGATCTTCGACACGCTCTAGCCTATTGTTACAGTTACTGCGTTAATCCAGCTTATTGAAGATCCTCCTCAGTTTTGCTGAGCGTCTACCTTCCCCAGCATGATGTCTTTTTTCCAAGGACTGGCCCCTCCTGAAAACATGCTCAAAGTATGTAAGATGAAGTTTCACCATCCTTATCTCCAACAACTAGCGTACTCAGGTTGTACATCTTCCATGACATATTTGTTGTTTTGGCAGTTCATGATGTATTCGATACTCTTCGTAACACCAAAATTAAAAGACATGGATTCTTTTTTGGTCTTGTTCACTGTCCAACTTTTCATATGCAAACAAAGCAGAGGAAAATACTATGACTTGGATTAAGTACATCTTAGTCTTTAAAATCATATCCTCTGGAGCTCTGGGGGCCTGCTGGCAAGAAGCTGCAGTGCAATCCCAGGGGTACGTGGTTCGAATCCACCAGTTGCTGTACAAGTCAGATCTGATTTGACGGTACAAACACACTTTAAAAAAATGTTTAAAAGTATGTCGTTTCTCTTACCAGAAAGAAGTCTTTGACAGCAGTTTTTACCAGTGCAGTAACATATTTTGATTTCTTGACTGCCATTATTATCATGAGTGTTGATTATAGATTTAAGTAAAATTATTTCATTGACAATTTCAGTCTTTTCTCCATCTTATCACGATGCTACCTATTGGTCACGTGGTGAGGATTTTTGTTTTATTGATGTTGAGATGTAATCTATATTGAAAATCCTAGGCTTTGACATTCTACAGCAAATCTTCAAGTCTTCTGCATTTTCTGCAAGCAGTGTTGTATCATCTGCATAATGCAGGTTGTTGAGTTTTCCTTCAGTCCTGAAGGCACACTATTCATGTAGTCCAACTTTTTAAATTGCTCAGCATATGTATTGAATGGATATGGAGAAAGGATACAACTCTGATTCCTATCTTTCCTGATTTTAAATCATTCCTTGTTCTGTTTGGACAACCACTTCTTGGTCTTTGAATAGGTTTCCCACAAACACAATTAAATGTCCTGGGATTTCCATTCTTCTCAGTATTAAACATGATTTGTTATGTTCCACCCAGTCAGATGCCTCCACATAGTTAATAAAACACAAGTAGGGAGCTCTGGTGGCCTAGTGACAAGACGCTGCACTGCAATCCCAGAGATACACGGTTCAAATCCACCAGATGCTCTGCTGGAGAAGGAGGGGGCAGTCTCCTCCTGTACCAGTCAGATCTGATTTGATGGTACACGTAAAAATAATACAATAAAAAAAAAACACAAGTAAACATCTCTTTTTCTTTTTTAGTCATCTAAAACAGCAACAACAAATTCAAGCCTCAAGTTGCAATACTTAATTCTGCTTAACGCATTAAAAGAAGATGGAA